AACAGATTCCAGTTCGACAAACTTTGGCTTTTGAAGTTGAAGGAGTATGTTTTCGAAGTTGTGAAAGCAGCCTGGAGTCAAAACCAATCAGGCACACATTTCTTTCAGTTGAAAGAGAAGATTAAACTCACAAGGCTTGCTCTCATCAAATGGAGTGCTAATTTCAAAACAGATAATCAGTCCAAAATAGAGCATCTTAACTCTGAGCTGGAGTTCCTGAGGAATACCAATCTTGCTAACAACAGGGACGACTGGATTTCAACCAAAGCTGAGCTGGATCAAGCTTATCACCCAGAGGAATTGTACTGGTAACAAAAAGCAAAAGTCAATTGGCTGAAGGAAGAGGATAGCAATTCCAGGTTCTTTCATGCTTACACTCAGCAAAGGAGAAGACAAAATGCCATTACTAGATTGCTTACTCCTAAAAACAGGGAATGCACTTCTCAATATGAGATTCAAAATCATATCACAAGCCTCTATGCTAACCTGTTCTCTTCAGAAGGATCCTGGGGTGGTGATGTAGAGCGTAGTACAATAGGGGAAGAAGATGGAATTCTCTCTCATAAAACACACTAATTTTATTCAATCGTCAAAAACTGACTTTCTCATCATCCAAATAACATATAAATAAAGAGGAGAAATAAAGATTCCTAAACTTGCCCCACAATTGCAAGTTAATTATTTTCCTACCCCAAAATTACTACTTACTAAAGGAAATAAAATAAAAGAGTACGAATAATCATGAGTCAATAAAAACCGACTAAACCCGAAGACGGTCATACTTATTAAAATATTCAATAGCGGTCTCGTCTTCATCATCCTCCCCCGGTTGAGCAGGATTCAGCCTTGAATCTGACCCGGTTTCGTCTTCTTTCGAGTTGTCGCCCACAAATGGCACCAAGTGCTTGACGTTAAAAACGTCAGACGTACGAATATGAGAAGGAAGACGTAGACGATAAGCATTCGGATTAATTTTCTCAATTACCTCGATCGGGCCAATCTTCCAGGCTGACAGTTTGTTATACTCGTGGGCCGTGAATCGATCCCTCGTCAAGACGGCCCAAACAAAGTCACCAACCGAGAACTCCACATGGCGACGCTGCACATCCACCGTGCGCTTGTAACGCTGCAGTCGTGTCCTTCAATCTGGCCCGGGTCGCCGCGTGGGTCGCCCTCAGATCAGTAAGGAGGTCCGTGGCCTGTCGATCGGACGCAGCTCCAGGCGGCAAACTCACCAAGTCGGACGAACCTCGTGGGGAAAGCGCATAGACCACCTCGAACGGAGACAATCACGTCGCTCGACTGACAG